GTAAAACAACTCAAGGGCAAACATAGAAAACTTTATAGAGATTACCGTACTCACAGCTAAACAGATAAAGAGACATCCGACCAATATAAATGGTCTTCTCCTTCCAAATCTTGACTGACATTTGTCACTATAGAAACCAACACAGGGTTGAACCTGAAGGCAAAACCCAAGAACAAAACAATTAAGAGTATACCACTTTTGCATGACGTACTGCCTTAAATAAAATGATTTGTGATAATTGCAGGTGTCGTGAGACATATCTGCAAAGAAGTATAAGAAAGAGTATAAAGTGTCGGTTGACGTGCCTAGGGAGAGGTTGTAACCGAGCACTTGAGGAGGAGGACACGGGCTAGGACCAACACTTAGTGTGTGAGGTGTGATTACATAGTGATTGTATTGTGAGGTGTAAACGTTGTTCGGGTGAACGTAAAAAACCCGGTTGTGATAGTGGAGATCTCCTCGAGGTGAGGAGCGGAGACGTAGGTCGTGGGGACCGAACTCCGTAATCATATTGCTTGTTTGTGATTGCATTGGCGCACTTCTTTTATGTTTATATCTTATATCGCCTTTGTATGTTGCTTGTTGATTATATTGCCCACTATCTAGTTTAGATTGTTTACTCTTGAGCTTATATATCCTTGTACATACATTGTTTATATCTCTTTGTTAGGATATATCTTGGTGTTCATATTACTTATCCTAGCTCATATACATTGTTGTATTTCATACTTGCTAGGATAACTTGTTAATAAGTTTTAATTGGTATTTAATCGGATTAGATTAGCATAAGACCCTAATCACCCCCCTCTAGGGTCTAACAGAAACAAGCTGGACAAGTGACTCCCGTGTGGAGCATCGACCTAGATATATTTATATATCATTATATAGCATTTGCCACTACCCCTTCTCTATGATGACGATGCTCTTATGATACATCTGGCTAGACTGAGTTTTACTCTTCATAAGTCCAACGTGTGTATTATGGGGGGTATTAAATAAACAACTGTAGTACCCTTTGAGGACTTACCTACGTGAGAGGAACCGTAATGGCCGCGGTTTGGGGTGGGACAGGGCTGACCCCTAGAAACTCTCATAAGTCAGTTTTTTATGAGCATGGTCTTTAACGCTCAACCCGCTTAGCTCAATAGATGAAAACATATTGTGTGTGTTTTTATCAATATCTGATTCAAGGGGCCTAATTCAAGGCCTAGTCCATTATGTCCTCAGGTGGTGATGAACTCACTAAGGAAAGGTTCAAAGCCGAAAGTTACTTCTCCCGAATTCACGATACAAAGGTTGCCCAACCTATATTTATTTTGTGATTTATTAATTTATTTATTATGTTTTGAGTTTTCAGTCAATATTGTCTTTTGGGGGGGACTGTTGGATGTTTTATTCATAAAAAGGTAATTTTGCCTTTGTGGATAGTCCCATATTAAAAAAGGAGATGAATAGTATATGGTATATAATGGTTCTCTCCTTATTGGGTTTTGAATAGTGTTTTGGGTTTTGGGGCTTTGCATATCTATCTCACACGCGCGCGCGCGCACGCACGTCACGCCTCGCCTCGCCTCGCCTCGCTCGCATGCGCGCGCCACGCCACGCAGCACCGCACACGCACACTTTTTTGCTTCTCAAGCTTTTATTTTGCACGTTTTATACGTTTTGTAACGGCTGCATGCGGGTAACAGAAGCGAGATTCGTGCGTAACAGTTCCCTTGATTCAGCGGGGGTTACACTTCTCCTCACCTATATAAGCTGCCGTAGACCTCATTCAGAAACACAACAACGAGAAGAACAACTTCCAAAGCTCTCTTTCTCCAGTTTCTTTTCTCCCAAGTTATTTCGGCTACATTATATTTATATTTTGGGCAACCGTTTTCGTCTGAGCATAAGCTCTGTGACTCACGTCCGAGCACAGAGGTCGGCCGATTCCGGGGGTTTTTCTAAGGCAGTGACATCACGACTGCTCCCGATCAGGCCTGAATTTTCTTACTCTTTAATTTGGATTTTATATTATTATTATATTCCTGTTTAGACAACACAACTACCCACAGATGAACAGTGTCATCGTGACAAGGTTAGGACTAGGGGTTTGCTGTGAGTGAAGGTTTCCACGGATGAACAGTAGCTCACGGATAAACAGTGTTATTATGCCAAGTGGAGAGGTTAGGGATAGCGTTTTACTATGAGCGGAGGTTGTGAGCGATGGGGCGGTGCGTCAAGGTTGAATCTAGTATCAAGGTTGTCGAGTGGAAGTACAAAGTTTTTGGTAAAACACCCTTGGTAGCTCGATGTAGAGGATGAAGAAAGAGGTCTCTCTGGGATCAAGAGGATATCTCTAATACCATGATAAGAATAGAATTATTTGGAGGAAAACAAATAATTTTATTCATTGCAATGAAGTGTTTAATATGTATAATAATTATATTTGGAGAAAAGAAATAATTTTATTCATTGCACTGAAGTGTTTAAATACATGAGCAAGAGGAAAGATTTTAATATCCTAAGTGATGTTAGACTAAGAGAAAGAGATACTATATGCCTAATAATTATATTTAATAATTGCTTCTTAAAAAAATAAGCAGAAGCAACATAAAGCACTACCAAGCTCGCCCAAAGTTACTTTGCTTTTGGTTAAATCTTTGGAAGAGAAGTTAGAAATCTACTTATGATATTAGAAAATGGATTCTAGTCTAAAACACTTAGGAGGAAATTTTCTTTTAAACACGTATTCTTCTTTTCAAGTTGTGACCTCTCTAACTTAAACGACAAGTGTCTTTTGTAATATAACCCCTTAGTTCACTATCATTGAAAATTTACTCCAAATCTCACTACTTTCTCCTTCGTCTTACCATAAGCAGAGATAAGAACATACTTAACTCTTCAAAAAAAAATAAAAATAATAAAATAATAAAAAAGAGAGAAAAAACCGCAATCTAATTCTCAATTCTCAGGCCCAAGGTTAGACCTTGCAACTAATATTTGTTTTTTTATATAAATTATGATTCATTGAAGCACCGATTATCTATTATTTGCTAGTATCACTTCTGGTCTGGGTTATAGAAACTTGGGTACACAAATAATTTTCCAGATAACGTCGGCCACCGCAGACGATGGAAAAGTCTATACTATTACTACAACGGTTTTTCTATATAGTACCCATGGGCACTCTATAAGAGAGGAGAGAGATAGAGAGAAATGAATAGCTCATGGGCCCCCTGATTTGCATTAATTTCTGTGCATAATTCATTTCTCTTTATCTCTCTCCTCTCTTATAGAGTGCCCATTAACACTCTATAGAAAAACCATTACTACAATGCGCCTCCACGAGAGAATCAAGGGAGCGCTGTTCTTTAATTAGGAAAATTTAAAAACTAGGAAAATAAATAAGCCTTGATTTTAATTGTGTACTCGCCAGCTTTTGCATCTTATAACCATCACTCTCAAACTACAATATTGATTAGAAAAAACACTACTGACTAAATTCTAATTAAAAAACATCTCAACAGTTTATATCAGCTGCCAAATATTTATTTATTAGTTAACCTTTGACTTGCAAACTCATCAATCTAATTGAAAATCATATTTTTGAATCTCAAGAGCTGAAAGATACCAAACACGAATTAATTTTTTGAGTGTACTTCTAATTTATTACGTTTTAGCCCCACCAACAATATTATTGATGAGCGAAGCACATACCATAGGTCCACAAGCTAGTGTCATCACAAAATCTTGTTAGGTGCAATTAATAATTTTAAAAAGAAATTTTTACTATTTAACACGTAATTGTACCTGGTGTGTTCCGCTTTTTAAGATCTCAAGCGGTTAGCAATCCACTCAACCTTCAATCACGCATCTTTTATGTCCTTTTTCTAACCCTTGTGCATCTTGTTACTGTAAAAGTGACAACAAAAAAAAGTATTATTTCTTATAAATTTCATAGAAGAAGGTGCCCATCTGCAAATTTGAAAGTAACAATTGTTTGATTTAAAAATATTTTGTGTTAACTTTTGGGCGGTTTGTTTCCATGCATTTAGCAACACTATGTTGTTCGTATGGCGTACTTTATGTCATGGATTTGGTATTGTAATGTAGGATAAATGCATTAAATATAATTTCCTAAAGTTATGCTGATTTTAATCAGATTTGTTACTTTAGTCACTTATGCTCAATGAATTCAGGTGCTCTCCGAACAAAGTTTCGTTGATTTTTATCTCTCATACAAACCCTCTTTAATATTCTTTACAAACAAACGGAATTTTAAGTATAGTTTTTTTTCAAAATCCTTTAAGTGCGGGGAGATGCAATTGACCAACCAGATGACCCCCTAAGAAGTGTGTTATGTGACAAATTGACAAGGCAATCTAACACTATTCTCCTCTTCTTTTTCACCAAAACTTACAATATGCTAAAAATTTAAAACCATAAAAGGGTATGAAAATAAGGAAAGTAAGTAAAGGAGGATATTATTTTTGATAAGGAAATCCCAATACTAGTCAGGGAATATGGCGGGCATATGAACTGCCAAATTATAGATAAATGCACTATAATTACTTGAAGTATAAAATAATGTATTGTATCTTGCTAGATTAAATATATATATTCTACTATATTCGACACCCACGGCTCATAACTAGTGATTTGGTTTAAGAAAACCCACTTGTTATAATACTACGCGTGTTGAAGATTAATTTAGAGAAATTGTGAAAATATCTTCACACCCATTTATATGTTATTTTGCTTAAACAAATTTAAAAATAAATTTTAATTACTTTTTTTCACGCTGCAAGTTAGTTAACTTTGTTGTACATGAAACGACCGAAAACGTTTCACGCACGACACGAGCAAGAGAAGAGACCAATTAAATCCGCCTTGTACCCGCTTCTGACACTCCATTACGGCTGAGAAATTAAAAATTTAAAAACGGGCAGGAACACCCGCTGACACGTGGGCCCCACTGGCCGAGGTCTCTTTAATTGAGCTCCTCCCCCCCTCTCACTCGGAGCACGCAGTCTCTCTCTCTCTCTCTCTCTCTCCTCAACCAAATAAGGAAGCCGAGGGGCCAAATTGAAGGGCAAAGCCGGACTACAATCACCGCCGGTGACCACACCGCGGCCTTCAGAACTCGGAGGTGGCCCTGGTCGATTGCAGATACTAATTTCGACGGATTTTCACCGATTTCGGGAGATCTGGCGCCGGTTTCATCGCGAATCGGGTCCGCATTCTGCGAGGGAGGACGGGATCTGATCGATTTTGGTGCAAACTTTTTTCAGTGCGTCTGTCTGGGATTCTTCTGGCTCTTTTTCGAGGTTTTCTCCCCCTTGTCGCCTGATCGCTGAGGTTCCTCCTCCATTTGAGGAGGAGGAGGAGGACAGGAAGGAGTCGGGGAGCGCGAATTTTAGAGCGAGGGCCTTTTGGAGCCTGGAATTCGAAGGTAGGGTTTTGCTTAGTTTCTCTGGTTTTAGATCTAGCGACGGATGGATGTTTGATTTTGATCGTAATTTATGTGCAGTGAAATCTTAACTAGTTCAGTTCACATGCCGGAGCCTCGAGGATCGGTTTCGCCTTCGATTTCGTCTTCGTCTTCTCGATCTCGGTAAAACCTACTTGTTCATGGAGCTGATATGAATGATAATTACTTATAACTATCTTTTTCTTCTTTTTTTTTGCATTAATTTTGGATGCAAAAATTAATGTATTGAGAAGTTCTGGTAGTTTGAAAGTATTTAGGAAGGTACATTTTGGGTTCTGTTCGACTGCAAAGAAAGAGATTGCTGGGAATGAAAATGTAGTGCAATTCGATTTAATTAACTTGCGAGGAACTTGATAAACTATGCTGATAATGACTGAGGGTCATCTCTTTGAATGATGACCATTTTCGTGCAAACCCGAATAATTGATCAGTTGTCAAGGGGCGAAAGTTACAACTTTTAAGGACGATGCATATGGTTCAGTATTTCCTCTCCCTTTTAGCATGTAATAGTCTTATTCGGAAAGTGATTTTGTGACTGATTTTCCTAGGAACCAAGTAACTAATCTGATATGGCTAATGTTTTTCAGGGGTTTGCAGTTAACCCCCAATAACTTCCAAAATCACACTAAACCCCCAATAACTAATGGAATTGCAGAAAACCCTCCCAATAAGTTTCCTTGTTTTGTAGATAACCTCATGATGGCATCAGTCCACATTTTGCTTTGGCGACACTTGTAGATCCTAAATGGGACTGACGCCGTTATTGGGGTTCTTTACAAAACGCGGAAACTAATTGGGGGTTTTCTGAAATTCCAGTAGTTATTGTGGGTTTAGTGTGATTTCAGAAGTTATTGGGGGTTTACTGCAAAATTCTGAAAGTTCCTGGGGTTTAGTGTAATTTACCCTTTTTTGATTGGAAATTATCTGTGGTTCTGAGAAATACTTTGAAGAGGTTCTTCTCAATATTGTTTGGTTGCGTAAGACATGCGGCCAAACTGAACACATTCCAATATTCTCAAGAAAAATGTATTGCTCCAATTTTTTTTCTTTTTTCTTGTTTTCTTTGAGCATTTGCGGTAATCAAACGATGCAAAGTAACTATGTACCTACTATCCTCGGAACCAAACAAGACAACATATAAAAGTATAGAACTTAGTTTGTTTTTGTGGAAGAACTTATTAAATTGAATTTTACTTCATTAGAGAATCAAATGGAGCATTGGACATGGACGACCCTGAATCCACCATGGCCACCGTGGCTCATTTTTTGGAGCAGCTTCACACTAGCATGTCTTCACAATCTGAGAAGGAGCTGATAACTGCAAGGTTGCTGGCAATTGTCCGAGCTCAAAAGGAGGCAAGGGCTTTGATTGGTTCCCATTCTCAGGCAATGCCATTGTTCATTTCCATTCTTAGGAGTGGAACCCCAGTTGCTAGAGTGAATGTTGCTGCAACCCTCAGTGCCCTCTGCAAGGAAGAAGACCTACGAGTAAAGGTTCTTCTGGGAGGGTGCATACCTCCACTACTGACTCTTCTCAAGTCGGGATCGTCTGAGGCAAGAAAAGCTGCAGCTGAGGCCATATTTGAAGTTTCCTCTGGTGGGCTTTCTGATGATCACATTGGAACGAAGATATTTATCACTGAGGGTGTTGTGCCAACTCTCTGGGACCAGCTAAAGCAGAAGCTTAAACAAGACAGGGTGGTTGAAGGCTTTGTTACTGGGGCCCTTAGGAATCTTTGTGGGGACAAGGATGGATACTGGAGGGCCACACTCGAGGCTGGTGGAGTGGAGATCATCACAGGCCTTCTTTCTTCAGACAACACCTCAGCTCAGTCTAACGCTGCTTCACTCTTGGCACGGCTGATCCTGGCCTTTGGTGATAGTATTCCGAAAGTCATAGATGCTGGGGCAGTAGGAGCTCTTCTCCATCTTTTAGGCCGGAACAATGATATTTCTGTTCGTGCCGGTGCTGCTGATGCTTTGGAGGCCCTTTCTTCCAAGTCAACCATTGCTAAGAAGGCTGTAGTGGATGCAGGCGGCATACCGATCCTAATTGGAGCTGTGGTGGCTCCTTCCAAGGAGTGTATGCAAGGGGAAACAGGCCATGCCTTGCAGGGACATGCAGTTCGTGCCTTAGCAAATATTTGTGGTGGTATGTCTTCTCTCGTGCTTTACCTTGGAGAGCTTGCACAATCCCCTCGCCTTTCTGCTCCTGTTGCTGACATAATTGGAGCTTTGGCATACTCGCTAATGGTTTATGAGGGCATTGAAGAAAAAGTGTTTGATCCTATCCAGATTGAGGAAATCCTTATAATATTATTAAAGCCTCGAGATAATAAACTCATCCAGGACCGTGTTCTTGAGGCTTTGGCTAGTCTCTATGGAAATGCTTATTTCGTCAATAGGCTTGACTATGCGGATGCAAAACGGGTGCTTATTGGGTTGACAACAATGGCTTCCATTGATGCCCAAGAACATCTAATTCTGTCCTTAAGTAGCTTGTGCTGCGATGGAGTTGGCATCTGGGAGGCTCTTAGAAAGAGAGAGGGCATTCAGTTGTTGATATCATTGCTTGGGCTTTCCAGTGAACAGCATCAGGAGTACGCAGTTGCTTTGTTGGCCATCTTGACTGATCAAGTAGATGACAGCAAGTGGGCTATTACAGCTGCAGGAGGAATCCCTCCATTGGTTCAGTTGCTGGAGGCAGGATCTCAGAAAGCAAGGGAGGATGCAGCTCATATTCTTTGGAACTTATGCTGCCACAGCGATGACATTCGTGCATGTGTTGAGAGTGCTGGGGCCATTCCTGCACTCCTTTGGCTTTTGAGGAGTGGTGGTCCAAAGGGCCAGGAAGCTTCCTCAAAGGCACTTAGGAAGTTAATTCATGTTGCTGACTCTGCAACCATCAATCAATTATTAGCTCTGCTTCTTAGTGACGACTCTACTGGTTCAAAATACCACGCAATTACGGTATTGGGGCATGTCCTTACCATGGCTTCGCATCGAGATTTGGTACTAAGGGGGGCTCCTGCAAATAAAGGACTCAGGTCCCTTGTTGAAATTCTTAACTCGTCAAATGAAGAAACTCAAGAGTGTGCTGCTTCAGTTCTGGCTGATCTTTTCAGTACTCGACAAGATATATGTGACAGTCTTGCAACCGATGAGATTGTGAATCCATGCATGAAGCTCTTGACCAGCAAAACCCAAGTTATTGCCACACAATCAGCTCGGGCTTTGGGTGCACTCTCCCGTCCAAGCAAGACTAATTCTCCCCATAAGATGTCCTACATATCAGAAGGTGATGTGAAACCACTTATAAAGATGACTCAATCATCTTCCATGGTTTCTGCTGAGACTGCAGTTTCTGCTCTGGCAAATCTTCTTTCTGATCCACAGATTGCTGAAGAAGCTCTTGCAGAAGATATTGTATCAGCTTTGATGAGAGTGCTTGATAAAGGTACTTTGGACGGCAAGAAAAATGCTTCCCGAGCCCTTCATCAGTTACTGAACCATTTCCCAGTTGCTGATGTGCTTCCAGACAGTTCCCAGTGTCGTTTTGTGGTTCTTACACTTGCCGATTCCTTAGTTGTCACAGACTTGCAAGGGTCCAACTCCTCTGATGCTCTAGAGGTACTTTCTTTACTTGCTAGGAAGAAACAAAATGTACACTGCTGTTATCCCCCAGGGATTGCTCTTGCTGAAGTTCCTGGAAGCCTAGATCCTTTGGTCCAATGTTTGGCCATTGGGCTTCCTCCCATGCAAGACAAGGCAATTGAAATCCTTTCTAGGCTATGTCGAGACCAGCCTGACATACTCGGTGTTCGTTTGGTAGAACAACATGGATGTGTTGCTTCTCTTGCTCATAGAGTTATGAATTCCTCTAGCATAGAAGTGAGAATTGGTGGGGTTGCATTGCTAGTTTGTGCTGCAAAACAACAGAGAGATAAAACAATGAATGCTCTTGATGCATCAGGACTTTTGGAGAACCTCATTTACACACTGGTCAACATGCTGAAAAATCAGTCCAATTTTAATTCTCTGCAACTGGAAGTGCGGGCTTCTAGAAATTTGACGGAAAGGAAGACCATTAGTCATCTTGGGGAAGAAAATGACGTTCCTGATCCAGCAAATATTTTGGGGGGAACTGTTGCCCTTTGGATGCTCTCAATAATGTCTTCATCTTATGCTAAATCTAAACTTACTGTCATTGAAGCTGGTGGTGTGGAAGTTCTCTCAAATAAGCTTGCAAGTTATGCTGCCAACCCTCAGGTATGGCTTTCACTTATAAACTTTTGCCTTTATACTTTGTTATTTGTTATTTCAGAATTAGAGAGTCCTCATCAAACCTTCTGGTTGTCATCAATAGCTATGTGACTTATGTCTATAGATTACAAACATTGTGACACCCAATATAATTCCTTCTACATAGCTGCTTGCTTCTGAAGGTTGTCATTTGCTCATTCTGGCTTTGCTCATCTCGTTGCAGTCCTCTGTCACTAAGTTTATATCTTGCTCAACTACTCCTGGATCTACTTTATAACCATTCCTTTCAATCTTTCAAGCTTTCAATCTCTTGAACATTGATATTTTACTGTACTGGTCATATAGAAGTCGTGATTACTGATTTAAGGGTTTTATTTCAATCCTAAGAAAAAACTGTCGGCAGATAATGGAATGTTACTGCTAG